CCGCGCAGCCGCATTCTGAACTAGCTGGAGCCTCCGGGTGCACCTCAAGGGGAGCCCCATGTAGAGAGCATTGCAATAGTCCAGGCGGGAAACAACGAGGGCTTGAGTGACTGTGCGTAGGGCGTCCCGATCCAGAAAGGGGCGCAACTGGCGTATCAGGCGAGCCTGATGAAAAGCCCCCCTGGCCANGCTCTCCCGAGATAAAGGGAGAGCTTTTGGGACTCTACTCCTATCCAGGAGTACTCACCTCGACCCCTTCTCCCGGGGCACAAGGTTCCAAGCCGCTGAACAGCTGCTGACCGCTGTTCATGCTGGCTCTGACGCCTTCCCAAGCGGACGGCTCCGAAAAGAGCCGCCATCGGCGCGCCGTCCCACCGGAAGTCCCCGGTTGCTTGTCTCCTTGATTAGTTTCCATCCGTTGCTTCTTGTCCTGCCTTCAGGCGCTTTGGAGAATAGCTTGACTCCCTCTTCTTTGGGGCAGCCCCTGAGATATTGGAACACTGCCATCATGTCCCCCCTCGTCCTTCTCTTCATTAAACTAGACATACCCAATTCCAGCAGCCTTTCCTTATATGTTTTAGTTCCAATCTCCTAATCAACTTTGGGGCGTTTTGATTCCTTTTTTATAGAGCTGCAACTGAAGGGCTGTTCTCCTAAAACAGTGATGGCGAACCTTTTAGAGACCGAGTGTCCAAGCTGCAATCCAAAACCCACTTATGTATCGTCGGGTGCCGGGTGGGTATGGACCATTGGGTGGGTGTGGCCAATTGCGTGGGCGTGGCTGCGGTGGTAACAGCACACTGGGTGGGACTAAAAAGTTCAATCAATCAATTCCAATTTCGCAAGATCTTTTTTTTTCCCCGCGAGAAGTTGAAATTGACTGATTGATTGAACCTTTTTTTTTTTTGCACACAGCGGTGGAGGCCTAAAGTGAAAAGGTTTTATAAAACCCAGCTGAAGGCCTAGGATTGGGGCGACGGCGCACGTGCCCACAGAGAGGGCTCTGAGTGCCGCCTCTGGCACCCGTGCCATAGGTTCGCCACCACTGTCCTAAAACCACTCCTAAAACAGAAGGCCACCTTTTGAAAGGAGAGCAGGACAGGGGCACCCCATTTAACTTCCCTGAGCCAACTCCCCTTCCCTCTCTGCCTCTCTGATTGAGGAGGCAGGATTTAAGGGGCAATTATTGCAAATGCTCAGAGCTGCAAGCTGGTCTGGTCGGGGCCCAGGGACTCAATTTTCCTATTGTCAGCCAAAGTGGCTGGCACACTCCCTGGCCTGGCGGGCTGATTTATGAGGGGGCTGCTGGAAAGAGGAAGGAGACACGCATGCCGCCTCTTTCAAGCCCTCTCCCTTTAAATAAAACAAAGTGCCTGCCTTGTTTACTGCGGTGCTGGTATCTCAGGGTGGGTTATAAATCCCAACCTGTCCCTTTTCCCTCCCTGGTTGTTATCCCAACAAATTGTTTAGGGGGAGATGCCAGGCAGCTGCAAATAAGCAATTCACAACTTCAGGAAAGTCTACTGCTCACCATTGGAGAAGCCAGCAAAAAAGCTCCCGGCTAATTAAGGAAGACGGGTGAGCAGCAGGAAATCCCAAGCCGAAATAGTTAGCAGTTATGCTGACCCACAAAGAAGAAACAACCGATGTAAGCAGATTTCATCCCTGGCTGTTTTGAAGACCGTAGGCAAGGGGCGTTCGCAGCTGCAAGCCGCAAGGGCCACGTGTGCACTATGGCCTCGTCACACAAATGCCACCGTGACATACATGCCTCCTGACAACTGATGCGGGTAGAGAAGCTGGGGCCTTTGCACGATGACATTCGTACACATGTGTCTTCATTGACTTCCCCCCATGCATGCCTCTGCTGTAGATACAGGCTGCAAGTGATAGGTTTGTTCTCCTACGTTGTGTCCTCCTAGGTTTGTGAAGTGGCTGTTTTGTTTCTCCAATGTATAGATCACACGCGTGCCAGAGGCGGCACTCAGAGCCCTCTCTGTGGGCACGCGTGCCATGCCCTGGAGATGGTGAGGGACTGGCCCCCACCGCCCTGGCCCCACCCACCCAGTCTGCCATGACCACCGCGGCCATGCCCACCCGGCACCCAGTGATAAATAAGTGGGTTTTGGGTTGCAATTTGGGCACTGGGTCTCTAAAAGGTTCGCCATCACTGGTATAGATGCATATGCCTTGTGCGGCATATACCACATTGCTCAGTTTGTGTCGGAGTGTTTTATCCTTGGGGTGGACAAGCTTCTGCCTTAGTGTATTCTTGGGTTTAAAGTTTGGATGTATGCTGTGTTGATTGAAAATCCTCCTGAGCTTTTTTGGATAGTTCTGCAATGTGTGGAATGGCAACATTGCTTCGTTTATTGTTCTCTTCTTTGTCTGTTATGGAGTCCACTTGTCTTTTGAAAAAGCACCTTTGGGACAACCATGACCTGGATGACTGAGAATCTCCATAGACATTTAAGACGGGTTGCCACTTATTTTCCAAACACTATTCAATATATTGGCTTCCCTCTTCAAAGTGCTAACTAATTTAAAGCCTAAGTACCTTAGCGACCTCTCCAGACACTAAAATTGGAAGTGGAAATCCTTTTACAAGCTCTGTTTGTCAGCAAGCAGGAAAATGCTTCGTCCTGAATTGTTTCTAAAGTTGTGGGTCTGTTGCCTTGTTTTCATTGCATTCAGATAAATCAAATCCATATCATTTGGACACCTTTTGGACCCGATCTTATTCTTAAAGAAGGTTTTGAGCTTTGCCTTCTACTTTTTTTTCGGGTGATTTGTTTGATTAATTGGATTTACATCCCTCTTTCCCCCAGCAGGTCTGTGTAGCTCTGTAGGATTCTGTCTTCCAATTATATATCCATAAAAAAAAAAGAAACTTCAGAAGTAGGCTGGGCTGAGAAACTGTGACTGGCATTAGATCATTCTTTTCTATTTTGTGCACTGTGTCTTTGCTTCTATTTGTGTCGCTGCAACTTTGATGGTTTTGCCAAGCTGGAAAGCAGGGTATAAATTAAATCAATCCATCAATAATAGGGATGCTTTTGGGAGATGCTGACAGAGAATTGCTCACATTAATGCTCTTTTTTCCCAGAGACTTGAAAGCCCAGGCACCAATAGGCCAATTGTGCTTTTTTTTTTTGCAATGCAGACACAAGGACCAGAGAGAGGCCATTTAGGCTGGCTTTTGCTGAGAAAATAATTGCAACCATTACTCAGGGTGAAAACGAGCTTCTTACATAAAAAGCTCCTAGTTCATGGTTGTGAATAATAGGGGGTAGCAAAAAACAATTTCTGCCTTCAGACTGGAGAAATCTCTTAGCCTAGGCTGACCTCAAGAATTCTGACTGCATTTGCCCTTTATTCAGAAGCATGTGGACTAGAATCTTTGCACTTAAGAGGGGTCTGTGGTTCGGGAAAGATAACCACACTTGGCCAATAAAGGATTCTATTCGATAGATAGGTAGGTAGGTAGGTAGGTAGGTAGGTAGATAGGTAGGTAGGTAGATAGATAGATAGATAGATAGATAGATAGATAGATAGATAGATAGATAGATAGATAGATAGATAGATAGATAGATAGATAGATAGACAGACAGACAGACAGGCGAGCGGGCGGGCGGGTGGGCAGGCAGGCAGACAGGCAGACGGACAGTTTGGTCTAGTGCAGGGGTAGGCAACATTGGCTCTTTTATGACTCGTGGACTTCAACTCCCAGAATTCCTGAGCCAGCGATGCTGAGGGGAAAGGGAGAGGTTTCCAAGCTGAGCCATGCTGGCTCAGGAATTCTGGGAGTTGAAGTCCACGAGTCATAAAAGAGCCAAGGTTGCCTACCGCTGGTCTAGTGGTTATGACACTAAGCTAGAAAACAAGAGACCATGAGTTTAAGTCCCATTTTAGTCATGCAAGCCGACCGGATGACCTTGGTCTGGTCCCTCCCTCTGAGCTCAACCCACCTCACATCACAGGGTTGTTGTCATGTGGAAAATAGGAGGAGGAAAATGTTTTGGATATGTTCTCTGCCTTGAGTTATTCGTGAAAATAACAAAGGCAGGATATACAGTAAATAAATGAAAATAATTACATGAAATAAGGCATGGGCAAACCCTCTCTCAAATACAGGGAATCTTCGACTTACAACCCTTCATTTAGTGACTGTTCAAAGGTACTACAGCACTGAAAAAAGTCACTTCTAACCGGTCCTCGCACCTACGCCTATCGCAGCATCCCCACAGTTACGTGATCAAAATTTGGGTGTGTGGCAACCAACATGTATTTACCATGTTGCAGTGTACCACCAGGGTCATGTGATTTGTGACCTCCCCAGCTGGCTTCCAACAAGCAAAGTCAATACTGGCCGGTTGCCAGATTCACTTAATGTCTACACAATTCACTTCAACTGCGGTAATTTGCTTAACAATGCGACCAAAAAGGTTGTAAAATTGGGCAAACAATGGGAAGACCGGAAAGACCTGTTAAGAACAGATCATCATGGAGAATATCTATGTAGAATAGCATAGCATAGCATAGCATAGCATAGCATAGCATAGCATAGCATAGCATAGCATAGCATAGCATAGCATAGCATAGCATAGCATAGAGCTGGAAGGGACCTTGGAGGTCTTCTAGTCCAACCCCCTGCTCAAGCAGGAGCAATGACAAATGATTGTCCAGTCTTTCTTAAAAACCTCCAGTGATGTGGTCACTAGGAGTTGGAAATGACCTGATGGCACACAATCCATCAATCAACTGGATCACACTGAAAACCAAATGAAAGATGTAAGATATGATAGTACAGGGAGAAACACATATTCTGGAAGCATCTATAAAATATGGACAGTCCCCTCTGTGCTTTTAAACTCTTTTTTAAAAGAAGATTGCATCATGCCCAGGATATTTCAAGCAAGCAGGATCCAAATCAAGACGATGAAACAAAAATTGAGATATAATTTAAAAAAAAACAACCCCAGAAAACAAATCCTACAAACCTTTGTAGCAGTAAGCATCAAATTTGGATGCTGGATCCGGGAAGCCAGTCCGGTTTGAGAATTGATAGGTGGTCCTTACACCAGGTTCGTCTCCGCCACATTTCTTCCGTGGGGTTCGGATTGGATAGCGCACACTTCCGTCAGCCAGCCATCCTGGGTCACACTGGTCCAGTCCTTCCTGCCAGGCGAGGTATAACTGCCCCGTGGTTGCTAGTTGAGCCCCTCGACTCAGGCAGTGCTTCTGGGCCATTTGAAAGGTCAGCCGACCTGGGCTGGTCGCGTAAAACACTTTTCCTGAAATCACAGGAAAAAACATCATTAGGATGGACCCAGGCAGGACATTACCCTACCTCTGGTTTTCCACTTGTATACTGGTAATCCTTGACTTACAACCACAACCAAATTTATGTCGTTAAGCAAGACAGCTGTTAAATGAGGTTTGCCCCATTTTACGACTTTTCTTGTCCCAGTTGTTAAGTAAATCACTGCAGTTATTAAGTTAGTAACACGGTTGTGAAAACCTGGCTTCCCCATTGACTTTACTTGCCAGGTCGCAAAAGGGGATCACATCACACACACACAAACACACACACACACACACACACACGCACACACACACACCCCAGGACACTGCAACCATCATAAATATGCAGCAAGTTGCAAAGCATCCGAATTTTGATCGTGGAATTCTTCAACGAGTCCAAAGTATGAAAACTGGTCATAAATCACTTTTTTCAGTGCCGTTGTAACTTTGAATGGTCACTAAAGGAACAGTTGTAAGTTGAGGACTACCTGTACATTTACACGTGGTTTTGGAAACATCTAGCTTTTTTCCGCATTAAACATCTAAAAACAGGGGCGGACAAATGACTTTTACTTGGGTTTTGGTTCAGTGTATTGTGTGAAAAATGGATTGATTCAATACAGGTGATCTTCGACTTCATTTAGTTACCGTTCGAAGTTATGAAAGCACTGAAAAAAGTGACTTCTTTTGAATTCTTATTTTTTTATTGGCTTTTATAGTATAAAATACAAAAATACAAATAGTAGGAAACAAAGGGGAGGGGAAGGGAAAGAGAAAAGTGTGAAAGAGAAGGGGGAAAGAAAAAAAGGCGATTTCCGACTCCCTCTGTTGCGGGTAGAATAAGGCATTAATATCAAAACTCAACTTTTTACTTTTCCGTGGTATAAACTAGCCATTTCTATAACAACAAATCAATCAAATCAGTAAAACCCAAAATCAAAGTTTCATTTTTTTCCCCACCTCAAGCACAAAGTCCAGAAATAGTTTCCAGGTAGTGAAAAAAGTGACTTTTGATCGATTATTTTCACACTTTCACACACAGCATCTCCACGGTCACATAATCAAAATTTGGGCACTTGGCAACTGGCATGTACTTAGGACAGTTGCACTATCCTGATCACCATTTGTAAACTTCCCAGCCGGCTTCCAGCAAGCAAAGTCACTTGAGGAAGCCAGATTCGCTTAACAACCGCACGATTCACTTAACAACCAGGGCAAGAAAGTTCGTAAAATAGGGCGCAATTCACTTGACAACTGTTTTGCTTAGCAATGGCTCAATTGTGGTCGTAAGTCGAGGACTGCCTGTAAGCAAATTCAACTCTCTGCCGGATAGAAAAAAAAGTACTTTTATTGGAAAGGGTGGGGGCTGTTTTCAAAGAGGCTCCCTCGGCTCTGGCTGTTTAGGTTAAATCTGTCTTTATTTTTGGTCTGTTCATCTTCAAAGAGGCAGCTGGGTGTTAAGGAGAGAGAAAAATACTTCATTACTTAAGGAACAAAGCCCAGCCTTCTTCTCTCCAGACATAGACAAGAGAAAAGTAGCTAAGCAGCAGGCCAGTTTATCAAAGCCACCCGTCTTTCCGATCTTCCCCTCAAGGCTCTCGGGAGACAGAACAACAGTTTTGATGGCCTCTTTCATTTCATTAGGAACATTTTTCCCCAAAATGGCCGTGTCTGTTCCTTTCTAAGAGGTCGATGCAAGCATCCTTCAGGATTCACTTTTGGTCAACGTGTGGGATTGTGTTGTCAGTGTCACCTGTTTCCAAACAAAGCTAGAGCAACATTTATCAGCCTGTCACAGACATTTTTTTTTGGATTGTAAATTTGCCTGCTGGCATCTCGGGAGCCCGAACAATGGTGAAAAGATCCAATTTCAGGTTTGAAAATGTGATTGATCGGTGGTAAATAAGAAAAGCTCTTGGCAACCTTTCATGGGTTTCAATGGCAAATCAATACACTAATGTTGCATTTAATTACAGAGAACAAATGATAATTGCCAGGGAAGTGGATTAAGGACATCCTGCTCCGTGTTTGAAGACAGGGATTTTTTTTTTTTTTTACAGCTTTTCAATTCAAATGTGTTCCTGTACACTGTTATCATTATTTTTCATGAACAGCCTTTGTTTGCTGATTTCATTCCCTTGGAGGATGTTTTTCAAGATTTGAGGTTTCGGTGACATGTACAAGAATCAACATTTAAATCAGGGGTTAAATGAAAGAGCAGCTGATGATTCTGCGTTCAACTTCATTTATTTCCAAATCTTATTCGTTTTTTTAAATGTTTTGATTCCAAAGGATTTTTGTTGTTGTTGTTATTTAGTTTTGAAACTCACAGTTTTGGTTCTCAAGCTGTCTTTCTGTTTTCCCCATCATCTGTCTGAAATGGTATAGGGTTTCCTGCCTGAGCAGGGGGTTGGACTAGATGACCTCCAAGGTCCCTTTTCAACTTTATTATTATTATTATTATTATTATTATTATTATTATTATTATTATTATTATTATTATTATTATTATTATTATTATTATTATTGTTGTTGTTGTTGTTGTTGTTGTTGTTGTTGTTGTTGTTGTTATTATTATTATTATTATTATTATTATCTTCTTCCCATTTCAGTCCTAAAGATATTCTCCTCTTTCTCCTCTTTTCCCCTCCGTGTTCTCTCAGCCTTTCTCCTTTCCTCTCTTCACTTCCCTCTCACCTACGTTCCCTTCTATGTCTGCTTCTCTCTCTCTCCATCTTCCTGTCTTTCTTCTTTGTCCTCCTCTTCTCCTCTCATTCTCTGTTCTCACCACCTGCTTCCAGCTTTTCCTTCTTTCTGCTCTTCTTTTCTTCCCTCTCTATATCCCACCTTCTGTTCAGCTTCTCTCTCTCTTGTCCTTTATCCAATCCTCCCTCTCTCTTCCCTATTCATTGTTCCTTGGCCAAAGGGTGCTTAGCTACAACTACTATTTCTCATTTCTGAAGCACCAACCAAACCAAGGTTGCCTACCCCTGGTCTACATCATCAGAGTTAATGGCTGGTTCTTCTAGAAGAGAATGAGATGGCCACCTGGCCAGAAATCTAGTCCCTCTTCGGTCTATTTCTTTTTCTGAAACAACATCTCAACCTCTGTAAAAATGGCCAGACAGAGCTTTGTATTATGCCAGCCGGGATAGGTATAATGCGGGAAGCCAAATACTTGCTTGGGGCCAACATCAAACCCAGTTTTGAATGGGACCTCATTCCATATCCCCTTCTTAGTTTTAATTAACTGTAAGTTCCCAAGGATTGGGGATTTCTCATTTGTTTATGTTCCTCTGTAAATATAAGCAAGGGATGTACACAAGATATATGGGGAATGGATTCAGCAGGTAGGATCAAGCCAACTTGCTTAAGCCAACACAGTTTGGGTTTAGGCAGGATTGGGATAGAAGGGAAACGTGGAACTCCATTTTGTAAGACAAGTGATGCTCAGTTGGGTTACTCAAGCTGAAGCCAGCTTCAGCTCTTTTCCAACAATCAGCAACAAGCGTTTCCAAGGAGCTTCTAAGAGAGAGGCATTTCATTTGCTTCTGGCAGGTATCATTCAATCATCAGCCATCTGCTCAAAATAGGTCCTTCAAGTCCATTTCGCTGCTTCCCAGAATGACCAATAAGTTGTCTCTTGAGAAGCCTCAACACTCTGTCCTAGCAGAGTGGCATTTAGAGGCAGATTGATAAATAGGGAGCAAATGTATGATAAAACCGCTTTCCACTTTTGTAAAAGAGCACAGGGCCATTTCCGTGAAAAACATTTCAGGTTTATTCTGCTGTGTGTTTTAGCTTAGAACAGACATGTCAAACTCAAGGCTTGTGGGCCAGATCCGGCCCGTGATGTGTTTAGATCTGGCCCAAAAGCAGACGAGTAGGAGGAGGTGACTGAGTAGTTACCTCCTCGCTCTTTGGGTGTCTTGCAGGGGCAGCAGCCTAGCCAAGGACGGGCAGTGGGAGCCTCTCCAACATGTGGAGCTGCATGGCAGCAGTGACCGCAGGGGCGGTGGGGGGCGGGCATGGCTAAAGCGTCTGCTGGCAAGAGAAGGAAAGGGAGGGAAGGAAAGAGAACGGATGGAAAGCGCTCGGGTTGTGTTTCTTCAGTTCTCACCCCTCCCTGCCTCGTCGCCTTTTCCTCCCCCTCTTACTATCATCAGTGCTGCACTTTCCCACGTGAGACGGGAGGTTCCCATGTCGGGGGGGGGACCAATACGGTGGTGGGATTCAAATACCTGAACAATTGGTCCTCTTATTGGATGCAGGCCTGGGCCTCTGAGGCCTAGAACAGACTTCCGGAAGTGGCATCCATGCACTTCTGGCAGACCGCTCTAGGCCTCGGAGGCTTCCTCCTGGCTTCCGAGGCCTAGAACAGACTTCTGGAAGTGGCATCTGTTGTGTCCTGAGCCTGCAGAAGCAGGCTCGGGACGATGCAAGAGTCCCGGGCATTTGCAAAAGCTGCCCGGGACCAGACTGAGCAGCGCCGGCCTTGCGCGCATGCGCAAGGCGGGAAAAGACTGCCTGCCATTGGTTGGAATTGCCCGGGGATCAGAGGGTATAAATAGAGGCCTGCGAGCCTCTGCTCTTGCTTGTTGTTAGTTGTAACGAGAGAATAAAGACTGTTGGCAATATGCATTGTTTCCTTCGCCATTCTTCTCCGGACATAACAGCATCCATGCACTTCTGGCAGACCGTTCTAGGCCTCGGAGGCTTCCTCCTGGCTTCCGAGGCCTAGAACAGACTTCTGGAAGTGGCATCCATGTACTTCCAGAGGGCCATTCTAGGCCTGGGATGCCTCCTCCAGACCTCCGAGGCCTAGACTGGACTTCTGGAAGCAGTGTGCATTCAGCCGGTTCTCCGAACTCAGCAAAATTTAGCTACCGGTTCTGCTGAACCGGTGCAAACTGGCTGAATCCCACCACTGGACCAATATGATAGCTTTATATGCAACTGGCCCTTTGAGGACAAGCATAATGCTGATGCGGCCCTCAATGAAATTGAGTTTGACACCCCTGGCTTAGAGCATGCAAATTCAAATAGTACAAGTTTGTACTCCATTTACAACTGGTTATGTCGGACCTCCCTGGGGATAGTTACAAGCCAGTTCCGAAGGTTTGATGGCCACCATCCCCACAATCACATAACCACATGTTGGGTGCTCAGCAAAGGGCCCACACTAATGGCTGTTTGCAGCATCTCAATCTTGTGACCACATTTTACAACATTTTTTGCCAAAAACCACCATTAACTTCTGCTTTTCAGCAAAAACCACTGGTTAGCTTAACAGCCACAGCATTCACTTAACGACTGCTGCAAAAAAGGTCATAAAGTTGGATCAGTCACCTAGGTGACCCCATTTATGACCATCACAACTTACAACTGTGATGGGCGGGCTCCATTATGGTCATAATTTGAAGACTACCTGTAGGGCTAAAGAGGTAAACCAAAAGAGGCAACTGGTTTCAAAAGCTGTAGGCAGATGCTACTTTTTGCATTCCTGCAATCTTCAAAGCATGTCTTTTGGACAGAATCCCTCAGTCCTAATAATTAAATCAACAGTATTTAATGAATTTAATGGAAATGAAACCTAGTTAATTCAACTGGGGATTTTTTTTCTTCCTAGCTCCACTCACTTTTTAGTCTCTGCCTACCTTACCATTTAGCAGACAGCCTGTGGCCTGCTAACCTGGGGTGTTAGCTTTGCATATTTTATGCATTCTCTGCCTAAATTCCATCAATTGGAGTCCAGGGGATACAAAGCTAGAGATGGGAAAAAACATTTCACATTCAAAGTATGTCAAGCTTGAAATGCCCTATTTCACAGTCAAAAGAATTATTGAGAGTTTAAAATACAGATAGTCCTCGACTTACAACGGTTCGTTTAAGGACCGTTCAAAGTTACAACAGCACTGAAAAAAGTGACGTATGACTGTTTTTCACACTTACTGTACGAATGCTGCAGCATCCCCATAATCATTTGATGAAAATTCAGATGCTTGGCAACTGGCATGTATTTATGACAGTTGCAGTGTCCCGGGGCCATGTGATCACCTTTTTCAACCTTCTGACAAGCAAAGTCAATGGGGAAGCCAAGTTCACTTAACAACTGTATTACTAACTTAACAACTGCATTGATTTGCTTAACAAGAAAGGCTGTAAAATGGGGCAAAACTCACTTAACAATGATCTTGCTTTGCAACAGAAAATTCAATTGTGGTCATAAGTTGAGGACCACCTGTACTGGAACATTTCCAGGAAAGTCAGAACCCCTGTTTTTAATCCTGAACATGGGATTCCAAGTGAGAAATGTTTTCATCTCTATTACACAACCCCACACAGATTCCAAATCCATTGGTGTACCAAGCACAATATTTTCTCCATTCCCCCCCCCCCCC